CAGGTTTTTCTATGCTGTTGGCAATTTTGAACTGTACACAGCACAGTTTTTTAAAACTACGTGACAGCCCCAACTGAGGGCAAGGGATTTTAGCAAAACAAACTCACATGACAAATGCAGGCCCTATCTGATGTAGATAACATCAAAAATTAATTAATGGAAATAAAAATGAATGTCTTACTTTTATGCAGAAAAGTATCTACACAAAAGACACTTCACACTACTACTGAAATAGGTTTTCTTAATTTACTCTGTCTGCCAGTCATTTATCAGAAAACACCTGTAGAGTACTATAGACAGATAACTGATCCCTTTGAGTTACATCTAACTAAACCAATAGTCAGGAAAGTCAATACACTTCTACTTCTGAAGGTTCTTCTATCAAATAACCACCTACCATCACTCTAAAACAATTTTGATATTACAAAATGAGGGGAAAAAAATCCAGGTTAAGAAATATGTAAATATGTATAATCAAAGTATATCACAAGGCAGACTCCACAAAGTTACAATGCACTGAGACATCAGACGATGGAAAACCTAACACTAAATACTTCATGTATTCAAGTGCCTTGAGACACCTGAAAAACAACAGAAACTTGAATCACAATCCTGGAAACAAAGAACAGACTGGATTCCATTATATAGTTTAAACCTATTTTGTTTTACCATTCAGTAATCCCTGGATTAGAGAAAAATAGTGAAACAGAAATGGATCATGTTAGAAGAATTGTTTTTATAAAGCAAGGTTTCTTAAAATGTAAAACTAATGTAAAAAATTTAAAAATATTAAAAGCATATGCAAGCCAGGAAAGATGCTCCACTAGCAAATTACTCAATGCTTTAACAATTTAACATTTACACGTGTGATCTTTATACAGCAGAGGAGACCAATTTGAGATTGCGAGAAGCAGGTACAAAAATGAAACCCTAGATTTATAGATTTAAAGTTTCAACCATAAACAAATTTGAATCAAAAAATAAAATTTAGAAGCTCTCCACTTGACAAAAATCAATCTCAACACAATGGATACGTTTACACTTAAGTAGCTCATGAGCTCTGTAGTTTAGTGCAGAAAACACATTTGTGTTCACCTACTTTAAAAAAACAAACTAGAAGCTGTTAAATATGCTGTTAGTGAAAACTGTATTCCATACTGAAGAGATTCTTTATTTAAAGGTTGAAGCTAAATAAAAATGGGGGGGGGGGGGGGGGTTTCATACAATCAAAGGACTGGCAATCATTCTCTGCAAGAACTTCAAGTTTATGAAATTATTAGCACAGATTTATTATATCCACTGTTTGCCAGCCCAGAAGTTCATAATACACAGCTAGGCATGTTACTCTGTTTCAGAGTTGTAATGCTCAGGGAATGGACAACTCTGTATCTTTCAGCGTGCTACACAATGGCAGACAGTCACTCTAATAAACTCCTGAATACTTCAAAGGTCCACACATGGCACTAAAACAGCACCAAAAAGCATCAGCAAGCTTTAACTCTTCTAAAACTCCCTCGTTCTAAATGATGAGGGTAAAAAAATTGCTTTTCCATGTAACTGGTTCCAGCACCTCAACACTCAAACAATTCAAGTCATTCACTAAGACACGAAGGCATGAGTTGCTCCTAAAATGAGCACACTTTTAATTTGTACACAGGCTTTACCAAAATATATTAAGACACCTCTGCTAAGCAAGAAATTGCAAAGATCGTATTGCCACAAACTTAGAAAATAAACCGAGTGAAAGAAACACAGGATAAGAGACAAATGAGTTGCAGTATCATCAGTTTAATGAGCTGGAGTATCAGCAATGTCAGGGTCAGCTAAAGACAACAAGTTTAGAGGTATTCATCTTTTACCCCCCATGTATTCATTAAGTCCATGCTTGGAGCAAGACCAGTTATCATGCACAGTCAAGAATACAAATATTTGGTCCTTGTCCTGAGCCAAACTGTGCTCGGTACAATCAGATAGTTTTCGGAAAATAAAAGACAGATGGACAGCAGCTGCAATCAACTGACCTTCCAGAGGGGCAGTTTGTTTTCCATACCAACCTGTATACTCATTATTCCAGCTGTACAACTCAGGATCACAGTAACAAATCTATTTTGCTGAAGTCTTCCAACACAGAAAAAAATCTTGACAGAAAAGTTGCAGGCCTGGCTTACATTTATGGAGCAACATAAAATACAAGTTTTTTAGCCCCAAATTTGGCCCTGATGACACAAAAATCTAGATTCATGTTCTAGCAGTATTCTGAAATTACTGTAAAGAAATAAATAACTCAATTACTTAAGTTCTAATGTTAGCTACATAAATATACTGAGGGCGTTTCTTTTGTTGGGGTTTTTTTTTGGGTTTTTTTCAGCCTACAAGTTACTGGCCCACCTATCTCAACTGTACAAACCACCTGCTGATCCCAGATGCATTTGAACTTGCCTGGTATTTGAGATTAACCTATTTTCAAGGCTGGCTCTAGAAACATTATATCTACTGTTGATGCTTATTATTATCAACAGCTCCTTTTTTGCAGTTTAAGAGTAAAAGCCAGAGTAAAAGCCCCAGCCACACTATAGGGACAGTGCATTTTTTAGTCCCACTGCCTGGGACTTCAATGCAAAGGTCAACCCAGCAGGACAATCTTACTTGACAAGAATTAAGCTTGAAGTGCAGATCTAATATTTTAACAGCAGTTCCAAGAGAGACAACACTCAGAGAATCTGTATAGAAGTACCGTCCTCTGTTAATTCCCTAAGCTTGCATGACTGTTTTCAGTAAAAATTCATGCTCTTAATTGGTTGTACAACTATTTCAGTTTATGACAACTGTTTATTTGTAAACTTCACAGCTCCACCAGTATTCAAATCTGAAACAAACCCATTGAAGTCAAATGTATTACAAAATTCACAGCTTTAGTAAATCTGTTTATTATTTCCAAAGGACCCAAACTAGTTAGTGGCTGACTGCTTTTCAGGACAAACACAATTCTCAAGTTAGATTCAGTTTATAAATCTCTCTTCTGAAATATCCTAACAAAACAAAAGCCCCAAAACTGCAAAGACTTTTACAAAAACTGCATTGATGCTGCTTACAAATCTATGGAGAATAGAGAAGTGAAAAGCACCCCTTTCAGACTGAGATTGCTGGGAAAGCAGTGGACAACATTAAAAAGCAAACACGGTCATTTTACTTTCAGGAGAAATGCCTAGATCAAGCTTGCAGAGAGAGTAGCTCACGGCACACAGCACTGCAGCTGCCAAAAGACTAGAGAAGACAAGAGAGCAGCTTCAATGCACTGGCAGCTGGAGAAAACCTCAATGAAACTCAAGTCTAGGACACTTCTAGCCAAATACTCATGTACGAAAGAGAAAAAAACAAAAAAACAACACAAGACCGAATTGTATCTAGATCACACATAAGGACAAAAAAAAAAATTAAGAAATATCAGAATTTTCCCTATTCACAGCAACTAGGTGAAACAAGTCTGACAGTCCAGCTGAATGTCCTAGCACTACATTTGAAATTTCAGAGCCTTTACTTCATCTTTTGTATCTTCTTCTATTAACCAGACTGTCCTTTAGCTCACACTTCAAGGAAAGATGTCAAGTTCTGTATCTATACATAAGTGGTGCTTTCAGACGTATTTGTTTGTTGGTGAGGTCTGCAATACCAATGACATCAAAAAACTCTGGAACAGCACAAAGTTGCCACATTTAAAGCCATTAGAAGGAGAAAACTGGAAAATCCTATGGAAAATGAAAGAAGTTCTGAATCTAGCAATGTCTATACCCTTTACAAGCAGGAGACTCTGCGCTTTTACATTTTGATAGCATCTTTTCTATGATTTGTTCCTTTCTAATTTAAATAAATGAAGTGGTAAGGAATATTTTAAGAGCAAACCTTCTACAAAACCAAAAGACTTGCAGGAAACAGTGTGGATGAATCAGCAGGTGTCACTAGTTTGAGACTTGTGTCACAGTCTTAGGGAGCACAGACTTCCACAGGAAGGCACAAAATCCCTAATAACTTGGTTATCTGATCATAGTTATATACTATCTATAGTAGTGCCATGCTAAGTACCATATCTGTAACTAGCACATTTAAGCCCAGGAGACTGCATATTTTACACAGTACAAGGCTATGACTTCCCAAAGTTGAAGGCCTACTTGCTGTTTTCAAAGACAGTGTTAGACCAAAATAACCACTGGAAATACAAGAGATATAAGTGATTAGTATATTTTCTACAGTCATGTTAATCAGCCAATGAGACAACTACCAACAAAACCAGTCAGCTCAACAGGACAACTCACAGCTAGAAAATGAGAAAAAAGAAGGCTTTGGGAAGGCCTAATTGTGGCCCTTCCAGTAGTTGAAGGGAACTTAAAAGAAAGATGAGGCAAGAGCGTTTGCAGGAACATGTGCTGACAGGACAAGGGGCAATAGCTTGAAACTGAAAGAGAGTTTAGATTAGCAATTACGAAAAAATTCTTTAGTCTGGGGGTGGTGAGGCACAGGAACAGGCTGCCCAGAGAAGCTGTGGATGGCACATCCCTGGAAGTTCAGACAGGTTGGATGGAGCTAGCTGAAGGTGTCCCCACCTACTACAGGGGAGCTGGAATTGGAAAATTTTTTAACGTATCTTCCAACCCAAGCCATTCTATGACTCAACGACTTCACAAATGACCTACATCCACCTTCCGAGCCACCCCTCTGCAGTGCAACAGAGAGAAGCCGGTGAGAAGGGTACGAGGCGGCACGTCTCTCCACTACCCCCACTATCCCAGATGGCAGCAATCCTCTCCGGGGCCGGGATCGGTGCTGGTGCTTGCCCAACAGCGCCCGGCGCGACTCGGGCGAGCAGAAGCTGCTTTGTCACGGGAAGGGCCCTCGCCCCGCGCTGCCGGAGGCGGGAGCCGCGGGCCGGCGTTCCCTTCCCGGGCGGCGCTCTGCTCGGCCCCGGCCCCAATGCGGCCCCCTCAGCCTGCTCCGCCGCCCCTCACCTGCCGGATGCTGCTGGTTTCGGAAACGGCGAACTCTTCCTTCTCCTTGGNGACACCGGAAACGGCCTGGCCCGGCGGCTGCGCGCCGTGATGACGCAGCGCAACGGGGAAGTTACTAGAAAGGGGCACCGCCCGTGCGCGCGGCCGGCGCCGTGCGCGCCCCCAGGGCCTGCGTGTGCCCGCAGGGACTCGCGCCGGGCCTCCCGCAGCACTTCTGGCCTTGGGCTGTCACATCCCTGGCCTTTGGCCGTCCCCAGCCTCCACGGACACGTCTGGAGAGCCGTGTCCAGTTCTGGGCTCCTCAGTAGAAGAGGAGGGAGATAAGAGAGGCAAGGAGCTTCTGGAGAGGGTCCAGTGGGGGGTCACAAAGATAATTTGGGGTTTGGAGCATCTCTCGTATGAGGAGAGACTGCAGGAGCTGTGCCTGTCTGGGGAAGACTGAGAGGGCATTCATCAATACATACAAGTATTTATCACATTAAAATCTCAAAGGTGGGTGCCTAATAGGACAGTGCCAAACTCTTTTCAGTGGTGCTCAGTGACAGGACTAGAAGCAGTGGCCAAAAGCTAAAACACAGGAAATTCCACTTAAGCATGGGGAAGAACTTGACACTCAGGGTGGCAGAGCACTGGAACAGGCTGCCCAGCAAGGTCATGGACTCTCTCTCGACACATTCCAAACCCCACTGAACGTGTTCCTGTGTAACCTGCTGTAGCTGACCGTGCCTTGGCAGGGGACTTGGTCTGGATGATGATCTCCAGAGGTCTCTTCCAACCCTAACAATTCTGTTACTCTGTGTGATTCTAGGTTTTAGTCCTCTTTTTAGATTTTAGTTTCCTCTGCATGCTTTAATCACTTAGTTAAGGTGGTTTAAAGTGGTACTTACTTTAGTGGTAGGTATACCATTAGTGGTGCTAAGGTGGTACTATGAGACCAAGCCTTTTCAATAAACGTTATCACGCTTTCACTGTGACAGGATTCAAGGGAATGGCCTGAAGCCATGTCATTTAGGCTGGATATTAGGAAGAGGGTTTTTTGCCCAGAGGCTGGTCTGACCTTGGAGCAGGCTCCCCAGGAAAGTAGTCACAGCACTTCTTGTGGTCGCTCACACCTGGTTTTGCTGATGCCTTTGCTGGTGATTTTGCTGAGTGACATAAACAGCCCAGTTGCAGCAGCCCCTCACCTGTCGTTCCAGGACCTTCCCCCCTACAAGCAGCACAAGCTGACACAAGCCATAGGAAAACTTAGAATCTATTGCCAGGTGCAAGGGATGTGTGCCTTGGATTTTCAGTAAATCCATGCAGAAGTTTCACCAGGAGTTTCTCAGCTAGGACCTGGGAGTGCAGGTGCTACGTACACATGCAACTGTGGTTTGCTGGAACTCCAGTCTATGAGGTGTTACAGAGGCCTGTAGTGAGATGCAGGGATTTGGTGTTGAAAGATGCAAAAATCTACTCTGGCATAGTTTGTGAACCTACATCAATGAAATAATTCAGTAACTGTTGCTTTTAAGTTACTCAGCTAAAGAGTAATAAATACTAGACATTTACCACTTTAAAGGTACTGCAAAGGTAGTATTCCATAGCTGGAAATCACATGTTTTGTCCTTGGACAAAAAAAACCTTAAACACAAATTAAATTTGCATTACCAAATTAGGCGTTCTCCCCAAATATTCTTGCCTCTCAGGAATATCAAGATGTCTATTCCTGTTTAGTTGTAAAATACATATGTGGCTTTGAACTGTAGAATCAAATGTCCTTTTCTGCTTAGATGAGAATGGATGCTTCCCACAGTAGCCTGAATCATGAGATGATTTGCTGGTTTGTTCTGCTCTTGGGATAACATCTCAGACACCCTTTGTAGATTGGTTCATCTAGTACTAAAAATAGTGTAACACAGCATGGTAGTCTCCAAAACTTTTAACATTTTTACTAAAGGAATTGAAGACCTGCTAAGAGACCTTAAAAGAGAAATACGAAAGATTGGCTGAAGGGAATTCCAGGTTTTGCCTGTTCTAGAACTTTTGTTTGTTGCAGATAAGAATGATTCCAGGTATACTCGGATGGAGGCCAGTGGGCCAATTAACAATGAACCCACAACTCTCCCTCCTGGGGAAAGCTCCTAGAAGAGTCCCTTCTCTGTTGGGGCAACAAAAGGAGTCACTTCCAGCATGCCTTGCAGCCCTTGCAAATTTTATGTATCCCATGCAAATTCTGTGTACTCTATTGGTCCTTCCCTTTTGCTCTGCCCCTGAACCCTCAGTGGACTAGTCGTGATGCTCCTGTATAAGCCCCTGTTTCCCTCTGACTGTCTGGAGTCTTTTGTCCCTGACCCCTTTGTGGAAGCCAGAGTTCTCCTTGTTCCTGGCCCAAGAATAAAGGCTTCTTGTGGAACACCACACGAGGCTCCCGTCCTTCCTTTTGTGTCTCCCAGATATCAACCGAAGAGCTGCAATGGCTCAAGAGCCCTTTTCAGGGCTCAGGGCTGAGATCACTCTTGGCAGGGCAGGGAGTGCCTGAGCACCCAAGAGTGTCCTTCCAGGGACGCTTCTCTGGGAAGGCCACGGCACCCAGACCACTGCTCAGGCTGTGACATATTCAAGTATTTAGACTTTCTTTGGTTGCACATTTTATTTTGCATACTGGTTGTGATGCTACAAGGTGTTGACTTCTGCTGCAGCAGAATACTTGGATGTGTGCCTGTACCACAATATCTTGTTGACTGGCAGAGTGAGGAACACCATACAGTAGCATTCTGTAGCACTGCAATCAAGCAGTGATTTCAAGCAGCAATTAGATCTCAGAGTAAGGAGATAGTCCTCATTGCAGGCTATTTGCAGTTTATAGATACAGCTCCTGCTGACTGTATCATTCCATGAGTAGACTTAGTACAAGAGTAGCACAATTTCTACCTGGTTATAGCTAGCAGAAGTTTACAAGTTAGAGGAACAATCATTTGTGTTATTTACTGAAGTATATTTGTTATAAGTGGAAAGGATACTAAAAATTTATAGGAAATAACTTGGACATTATTGAAAGTTCTTAACTAAGCAAAGAGGGGACTTTAACAAAGAATGTTTTTATCTTCATGTTAATTTTGGTGCAGAGAACAGGAATATGGGATCTCATTTGCCAGAACTGAAAGGGTCCAGATGGAAAATACCCTAAACCAGAACAACATGCATATGGGTTCTCAGTCATAGTTGAGAACATATAGAACATATAGAACATATATGCTTATAAACAGTGCATGGAAAATGATAACAATATAGCAAAGAATTTTGAGTTCTTAATCATCTTAGCCTGACAGATTTTTAAAAACACTTATTTCCTCTTGTTTTTCTTTTCTTTCCCACTTTCTTCTACCTATGCTTTTATTTCCCCTTTCTAAAGTCACCTGTGCAACTTTTCTTCATTAATTGCTGATATTAAGGAACAGAATTCAGCATGTTTATTAGACCATTAATTTTTATGCCACTTCATTTTCCTCACCTACAGTTACTGATGTTTACTGCAGAAGTTCAACCTCATTCCCAGCTTTGACTAGACAGCATCAATTTGGTATTTTTTTCCACAGTTAGTTGTAACCAATGCAAAGCCATCTAACTTGGCTTCAGATAAACAAACAAACAAACAGAAAATGGACATGCAGTGACCAGACAGTATTTTGAATCAAAGTGAAAGTAGTGGGTCACAACAAGTTGAGTCAAATTAAGAATATTACCAAAAGGTTTTGAACCAGTTGGCTGAATTCTGTTTAATGTTTTACCTGACATTAGTGACACAGACTTGAATTTAGATGAGGCCTCAGCTGGTCTAATGACAGTAAAACTTACATACAATATCTCCAAAGTTCTCATGTAAGTGATGCATAACATTCCTTGTATTTCTGAATATTCAAACCAAACATAATATAAACACCTGTGTTTTATTTTTAATGTAAAAGGGAAGAGTATAGACTTCTACTTTCTTATGACATTAAAAAGATATTCTACATATTTTTTTTCCATTCCTGATTTGCCAGAACAAAGGTTAGGGCTCTTACTTTACACTCAGTTAAAGGGGTTCAATTAAAAAAGCTTAATACTAAAGCATAACTGGGTAGATAGTGATTATCTCCTGCTGTAGATAGGGGGCTCACTGTGCAGATTCTTTGCCTTTAGTACAGCAAATTTCAAGCACATGCCCTTGTCACGTCTCAGTCAGAAGGCAGTATCCTTGCCAGGTCTTCAATAATTCTAATAAATGAAATAATCTTGTCTCACTTGCAGTATGATTTGTTTCTTGGTGATTGCTTTTCTAATTCTTACAAAGAATCACCCTTTCAAAAGTCTAGAAAAAAGACTTTCATTTTTCTAGGAAAATCCCTTTCATTATCCCAATTCATTAGCAGATGTTTTCCAATTGTACTCTGTAACTTTTAGCCTAACCTGAGTTATTTTTGTTAGTTTGATTCACAAAAACCATATTTAAAGTTTTGTAGTTGTCTTTGTCCCAGAATTCATCCCAGAATTTTCTCTAGCTGCTCTCTACATGTACACTGTGCTTTGGCCTTTCCAACAAGCCTCTTTGTCTCCCTAGCCTCTGTTACGTGGAACTCTTTGTTTTGTTGGGAAAGTTCCTCTCATTTCAGGACTTTAACTACATATTTAAAGGTAGCACCGAAACTATGCGGTCTAAACTCTTTCAGTATTCAGTAAATGAGAGCCCTTTGCTCTTCATCTTTATTCTAGCTTTCCTACCTCAGCCTAAATTATGAGGGTTCGATTTTTTTTTTGACTAACCTTTTTGAAAAAGAAAAGTTTTATTGTATTGTGACACAATTTACAGCTTATTTCAAAGTAACTAGAACAGATACAAATTACTGCTGAATATTTGTATATGAAATCAAAAGAATAACAAATCTATCTGTTGCCAATTTATATACAGCCACATTCCAAAGTGACCCATTCTGAGAAAATAATATTGAAACAATTGCTGAATTTTCCAAAGAAAGCATACGAGGAGTATCCTTCCTGAAACAGACTGCAACAGCTACAAAAAAAAAAAAAAAATCTTTGTCTTATTACAAATGTAGAAGGAACTAGATATGAGAAAATTATTTATTTCTTTCCGAGACATGGAAAGAATTTAAGAACATAGAAGAGAAAGGAATCAGCTGATTGAAGAATTCTATGTAATTTATATTGGAAAGACTAATTCTATACTGGACAGGCTAATACAGCAAATGGTGAACAGGGAAAGGAGTTGTGTTGAATAAGAACTGTATTCAGCATTGCCCAAGTGAGGAACATGTAAATGTTTCTTTAAGGCTTAAAAACTGGTTTTTATGGACTTTTTTATGATGGCATCAAAAGGCATTTCTAGAATCCAGTTTTAGTTTAATTTAAATAGGACTTCTGTTAATCAGCAAGCATGATGCAAACTAATTTTTAAGTATGTCAAACTATAGCACAAGGAACAACACAGGTCTACACTGGAGGATGACAGGGCAGGGAGTGGGGTGGGTGAAGCTTTTACTAAATGTCCTGAAAGAAAAAGAGCATCAAACCAAGTATGTCAAATAGGGATATATGGACAAATATAAAACTTAAACTTCCTTAAAACTTAAGGGAAGATAAATTCATAGAATAGCAGGTAATCAGTCTTTTGGATTTTGGCTTCTGTTTTATAATTGTCTTGGTTTGGAAGACAGGTGTCTGCTAGGGAGGGCAGGAGCCTCCCTTGGAATGAAAATGTAGACCCCTTCCCTCCGAATTACTGTAATTTTGAAATCAAGGGGCTCTCAGGCAGAGATCTGGGGATAGGAACAATAGTTCTTTACTAGTATGTATAACAAGGTGTGGTGGGTTTTAGCTCAAGCTAAAACTCATTTCTTGCTGTAAAATATGGATTGGGAGAAGGGCAAAACAGGCTTAAAACTTACAAGGAATAAAGAAAGTTTATTAACAGGACTTAAAGAATAAGAAACCAGAATAAAACGTCCAGAAACTTTTTCTTCC